GCAGATATCCAAATTTATGATATCGGTATCGGTATCGGACATAAAAAAGTGGTATCGTGCCATCTCTAGTTTAAACCTTTGCTGCTTCCTTATATTGAGCCATATTGTTACACACACAGATGTTAAATATGTGTAATCAACAAATAAAAGATGTTTCAAGTGACAGTACTGTGTTTATTGCATGTGTCAGAATAAAAATATGCAAGTAAGCCGCTTGATTCTGCAATCACTCCATTCAAGGTTTCTACATCGGACTCTACATTAAGAATACCTCCCGTAATTACAGCCAATTACTGATTCAATGCCCTTCCCAGCACATTAGCAGCCGGCAGCGCAAACGGAGTTAATGTATGCACAACTGATGTTTCATTGAGCTGCCAGCGTTTCCTGAATAGGCCGGTTTAAGGGGATAAGGCTCTTATAGGTCTAAATGCATGGATAGATTGAAAGTCTCGTCAAAACATTGGGTACTACTGACTAACTGTACACGTTAAACTGCACTGCAGCTCATTTACAGCAGAAAGCCATCCTTAAAAAACACGAAGAAAAAAGAAAAAGCTGGCGGCGTCATTTCTACCGAAGGCAACAAAGTGAAGACTTCCCGAAACAGCGGCGTGCCTGCCTGCGCCGATCCGGCTCACTGAGCGCTCACTTCCCGGGACAGTGACGCATTCCACACACGTGCAAATGTTTAATGTGCTCGCGGGCACAGAGGCCGGAGGCAATGCGACATTCACCCCGCACCCCGGTACACCGGAGCAGCCGGGACACTTCACTGAGGTGACGCTGACTGAAGCTACAGTGGAGTATGTATGTAAGCAGCCCGTGTTCACGCGAAAGTGCGCAACACGCACACATACGCGCACGCGCTTTTCAGATGACGCGGTCTATGCGCGCAGCCAAGTGTTATATCAGCGTTTTTACAGTGGCACACACACACACACACACACACAAGCACGCGCGCACAATGAATGGGAGTAACGCATTCCCACCCCGGTATTTCCAGAGCAATCAAACGTCTTACCCTCAGTTATTGCTCCCAAAAGGCTTTCATTCTCATCATCCCGCGCTGTGAAGAACTTCAGCATTTTATCCGGTTACATCTGAGCGCGGAGGAAAATGGATTCAAGCAGCAGTGCCTCGCTCACAAGCGAAAGATGGGATGATTTCGCCTCTCTCTTACCCCCCCTTCTGTGTGATCTCCCTCCTCCCCCGTGCCTCTCTGCAGCTCTTTGAAGAAACTCAAGAGGTGTGCAGAAATGTCCCTCCCCAGTTTGCTGTCCACACAGCCCGCAGGACGGTGCACAAGCCAAGACAGCAGAGCTAAGGTGCCAAACATAAAAATCCAGCCTTATGCACGACCTGTCCTTCTGTAGGAAACTGGCTTCTTGTCACATGAATCTGCACACAATTCTTTGATTTATTGATAAAAACATTCAGAACATTCAGTCAATGATCACAGCATCGTTTAAAAAAATGTTAAACGTCTTTTTTGTTTCATAAACAAAACACAAAAAAAATCTCTTAAGACTGGCTTTAAAGACCACAGTAATCCGATAATGAACGACAGTGTGGAAGAGATTCACCGTTTAGATGAGCGTTGGGTTCTTATTCTTTTCTCTCTCTCTCTTTTTTAAATACACAACCTAGTAGTGCTAGTGTGCGACTCAGACATGTGTAGGTCATGGGAACACGTAACAGTCTGTGGGATATATTTGGAGAGTGTCTGATATGCCCGGATCACTACACTCAAACAGACAGATGGAGGCTCCACCTCAGTCCAGTGAATTTTTCTGTCAGTTTGCCTCGTTCTTCGATGCTTCGTCAAAGTTCTCCACGAGATCTACAGAACAGCAAAATCACAGCATTAAATAGTTAAACTAGAGGAACAATCTAAAGTCACATACATGAGTTCAACTGTAGTAACTTTTAAAGGCTGCAGAAAAATATTCAAAAGAGCAAATTGACTTAAATTGAGTAAAAAGAGCAATCTTCAATACTACAATGAAAATTTAACAGAGTGTAGCTGTCTCTAAGTTTTCATTCTGATCATTCTTCTTTTTATTCATGTGACACTGCATACCTGGCACATCATCATCCTCTTCCTCAATGTCCTCTGGCTTTGGAGCCTTGCTTTCAAGAGCTAAGACGAAATGCACAAAAAACACATTTTAGCTGGAAAGTGATAGAAAGTTGCCTCAAATAATGACTTTTAACCTACGATGAAGCATATCTGTATACGAGTGTTCTCCTCCAGTATGACAGTACTCCATTCACAAACCATGAGCGATGGATCATCGGCAGTGGCCTTTGGCGTCACCATGTTAGCATTCTCCACAATAAGGGAATAGCTTTCAGAACAAGAGTCCCAGAAACTTGAAGAATCAATGAAAGGAGCACTGAAGCTGCACTGGTGGCATGTGGAGACACCGCTTGTCTCTGTGTTTGGCAAACAGAGGTGAGAGGTTTTTTTGAGCTGAGTTTTCTATCATATATGCTGGTATTGATCTCTATGATATGCCAGTATTGTCTCATATCACTTGAAATTGAGACTTATTAGACCAGGCAACATTTCTTCCAGTCGTTTACTGCCTTAGCTTGTTTGAATCGCAGTCTCAGCTTCCTGCTGTTACCTGACAGGTTGCTGGTTCAGAGAAGATTTCTTTTAACTTGATTCTAACAAGTTACTGTTGCCTTTCTATTAGCTTGAAGCAGTCTGGCTAGTCTCCTCTGATCTCTGGTATTAACAAGGCATTTTCATCCCGAGAACTACCACTCACTGGATATATTCTCTTTTTCAGACCACTCTCTGTAAACCCTTAGAGATTACCTTCTTGTGCGGGAAAATCCCAGTAGATCGGCAGCCTCTGAAATACTCAGACGAACGTTTTCATGGCATCACACCAAAAATCACCTTTACCTTTCTTCTCCACTCTGATGCTTGGTGCTGTGCCTAAATACACTGACTTGCTCTCAAGTGATTGGCTGCTTAGATACGTTTGTTAAAGACTAGATGAACATATGTACCTAATAAAGTGGCCAGTATATGTTTATACCATCTTGGCTCATCTGGAAAAACAAATCTTTAAAAGATTTGCTTCACCTTGAAAAGTAAATATTAAGTATAAAGTGGATTTTGCATATTTAACTGTGTTGTAGCTCTTCTTTGAAACATTTACATTTTCCTGTCAATCTATTATCAATAAACCAAAATGTGAGACGTGCCTAGAGCTTGACTGGGGTTCAAATGGAGCAAACTGAACAGACGGGTCATGCAGCAGCTTAGAAAGTCAGAAACCTGCATATACACTGAATGTTAGACAAAAAAAAAGACGAAGAAGCCACCACAAGGTCACACGGCTCTCAATCGACCTCTGTGATGTTAATGTGGCTTTAACTGTTCCAAGAAGCACTTGACCACCTGAACCGTTCCCAGAATCAGGCGTTTACCAGGAAGAACTGGATAAACTGCACATTTCCAGGTGGACAAAGATGGTAGAGCCTTACCCAAGAAAACTAGAAGCTGTAAATGCTTTTGAAGGAGGCTGTGAATATTTTGCACATGAGCTGCTGCAAGAATTTCTTTCCCATGAATCAAAGTATAATCAACCTGTGGTGTCAACTACAAATTATCCTCCCAAAAAGGAAGCGAGTGAAAATGAATACCAACTAAAAGGAAAAAGTTTAGGCGTCTACTTAACAGGTAAACTTAGCTTTGCATCTCCTACCTCTTTTATCCTTTTTGGATAAAAGAGGTAGGAGATGCATTTTGGTTAAATGAACATAAAATCAATGAAATAATAAAAAAAGCCCTGAGGGGCGACCCACCTTGCCGAGGGAACTGTTCTGCGAGCTTGCGCAGGCTGCTGAGGCTGTCTGCTCCAAGCTGACTGAGGATGGCGGGCAGCATCTCTGTCATCTGTTTGGTCTCAGCGTGGCCGGTGATCGCAAAGGTGTTGGCAGATAGAGAGGCCTGAACTTTGGGGTTGTTAAAGTGAATCACAGTCCCGTCATCCTTGATCATGTTCACCTGAGGAGAAAAGATCACCCAAGTTCTCTCAAGTCACCCAAGTCCATGCACGTTACCTTTGAAAAACTAAACAGTGGTCTGCTCCACACAACCGCACATTCATGTCACTTTACCTCCTCAATTCCAGCAATGTTGTTGACAGCAAACTTCTTCAGTGAACTCTGAAGCTTTTTGTCATCAGCTGTTGCAGTTCTGTGAACCACCTTCTTCTTCCTGCGTGCAGTGCCCTGAGAACACAAAACATACAATCAGATCAACACTTTTCTAAGTCATAGGCTGTGACTTAGAAACAGAAGAAAGGAGAAAAATACAGCGACAGAAAACGTTTGGCTAGTTACAAAATATTGTGTTTAAATCCTCTGTCCGGTTCTGATTGCTTACCACTTTCACTAATAGTTTTAGTCATCATTTAACCTTTTACAGAGTGAAATGATGTCTTCAGTTTTCTTCCCTGTCTAGCCAGTCACCCTGAAGCCAAAAGTAAACTACTGTGCAACTAGAGAGATCAGATCCTGTTGCAAAAAAATACCATCCATCCATCCATCTTCATCCGCTTTATCCG